ATTCTTACAGCACTTAATAACATACTATCCTTATAATAATCCTGTGAAAATTACAGATGAGATAACTAAGTTTCCACAAAGAAAAGGAGAATGACAGGAATTGAGCTGTTATTAGTATGGCAGATACTTTATATTTCATTCCTCTAGAATGGAAGCTCTAAGAGGACAAGGGCTTTTTGTCTTATTTTTCATGGTCTCCCCAGCTACAAAGAAGTGTGGACTCCGTAAGGATAAACGTATTCCCAATTTATAGATGATAAAGATAAGCAATTTGAATCAGTCTGCTGAAGGATACTGTAATATCCTTTTCATTAGGATAAATGTATCCCCATTTTATAGATGAAGAAATTCAGGCTCTAAAAGATAGTCACATATGCAAGGTCACACAACTATTAAATTAAGGTTCAAAACCAAACCTAATATTCTTTCCTTAACTATACTGTCTGAAACAGTTGGCTATTAGCTGAAATTTGGAAATCATTTTATAACACTTTACTCAATGTTACTGAAATAATTGTTCTGAATGTATAATCTGTACTTGTCACTAAATTTTAATTAAGTCAGAAATAGAAAGAAAATGGAATTGCCTTAAAAGGAATAGGTTGGCTAATACTCCAGATGTGTAATGACAGTTTAAAAAGCTTTATTTTACTATTTTAAGTGACAAAAGAGGAACAGAACTTTGAATTTTTTATTAGATTAAAATTTTAAAATAACGTAGCAAAAAAAAAAGGAAAAATCTATACACATAGCTCTCACATGAGGGAAAAACAGAGGACTATTTTAATTGTTATAGTACCGAGAGATGTTGCAAATCACACATGAGCTATCCACTCATTAAAGCGGACACAGGATGGCCTTTTTTGAAGTTGCAGGCCACCATTTGGTTCAAATTACTAAGAAATTCTTAAAAACAATCAAAATACTTTTCTCCAAATAAAACCCTCCTCAAACAAATCTATACTAAAAATTGCCCCCCAATTAGTATGAAACATTAAAGTTAATGCTAAGTAAATAGCAATGTAAAGCGTTAAAACAGTGAGATTGTATCCCTCTGTGCAAGTCCAAATATATCAATAAATCAACAAATATACAGCTTAAGAAACTAAAATGTAATTTACTTTTCTGCCTGCTGAAATTATTTTTCCAGAATATGTACATTTCCTATGTAGTAGTCATTACATATCAATCCTTTCGAACATAAATTAAATTCACAGTATGAAAATATTTGGATATTTATAAAATTCAATTCACTTAGAAGTCCACTGCAATAAATGATCCATAAAATAATATCCTCAATGAAAAACATAGAAAGCAATAATGTCCTAGATCCATTTGAAGATCAAGTTTTTCCTCAAGGAAAATTCTTGCCAATTTTTCAAAGTGTTTTATCAATCAGACTGCTCACCTGGCAAAAATAAAATGTAGAGAATAAAAATTCTGGAATTTACTTAGAATTTAGTCTTACATTTTCCCATTCACTGTATAAGAATAACAGAAGTCAAAATGCAATGTTTTCCTTTATCTATCTTAGTATGAAAACACATCCAGAGAAACCTGTAGTCAAAACTCTGAGTTATAAGAGTTTCATGGTAGTTGAGCAAAGGGAAATTCAGGGATAACACTTTAAAATTTCATTTTAACTGACAGCTTCAATTTCTTTCTACATTAAATATTTTCTCAGGACTTACACAAATGTTCTAGACCTTTCCCTCCCCTAAATTCTTAAATGATTCCAATAAACCTCTTCTGAGAACATTTTATGTAAAATATACTTTGCTAAGTATTTGTGCATAACTTTATTTCAGCTAATGCTCACATTGACCCGGTGATGAAATCTTCATTTCACATATAACTAAACAAGGCTTAGAGATGCTAAGTAACTTGTCCCAGGTTACAAAACTGTCAGAGGGAAAGTCTGCATCTGAACTAAGGTTTTCAGACTACACCACAACCGTAACCTATCACTTTACTTGGTAATCACATACTGTCTCTACAAGGCATTGTATCACTAATTTTCACCGTTATTTTTCTTAAATTTTTCTATACTCATGTTTTTGAGAGCAAAAATTGTGTTGTGCTTTGAGATCTTACAGTATCCTTTAGCAGACTGATTCAAATTGCTTATCTGATAGGGGCTCCTGGCTGGCTCAGTTGGTAGATTATGCAACTCTTGATCTCAGGCTTGTGAGCTCAAGTCCCAAGTTGGGCAGAGAGCTTACTTAAAACAACAATGACAACAAACACTCAAAGAATAAAGTCTCTCAATGAAGCATTAAACAAATAACAAAAACCTCAAATTGGTTATATAAAAATGACAGGCTAAAAGTTTAAAACTTCTCAGAGCCTCACATTTGTTAAATAGAAATGATACTGAACCACCTGAGAGGTTACTGTCAAATGCTTTCCATGTGTATTAACTCTTTTAATCCTCACAACAGCCCTATGAAATTGGTACATTATTGTCCCATTTTGCAGATGAAAATGCCAAAGGCTAGCGAGGTTATCCTACTTGCCCAAGATTAACGTTACAAACTAGTAGGTGGAGGAGATGGGCTTCCAAATGCCAAGGTATTGTCTTAAGGGTTACTTGCTTAATGTCAAAACTGTCCCTCTAGGACTAGATAATGACTAAAATGAAATCATGTATCCATACGGTATGCAAAAATTTTAACTCTGGAAAATGATTTCTTGGATACGACACCAAAAGCACAGGCGATAAAAGCAAAAATAGACAAACGAGACTACATCAAACTTAACTTCTGTACATCAAAGGACACAATAAGATTTCCTACTAGAATGGGAGAAAAAAGTGTGTGAATCATACATCTGATAAGAGGTTAACATCCAGAATATATAAGGAACTCCTACAACTCAACAACAAAACAAATAACCCAATTAAAAAACGGGCAAAGGACTTGAATAGACATTTATCCAAGATGATATAAACAAGCCAACAAACATAAAAACATGCTCAACATCACTAATCATTAAAGAAATGCAAATCAAAACCACAATGAGATATCACCTCACACTTTTTAACATGGCTAACATTGAAAACAAACAGAAAATAAATTTTGGTGATGATGTAGAAAAACTGGAACTCTTGCTCACTGCTGGTGGGAATGTAAAATGGTGCAACTGCTATGGAAAACAATATAGTAATTCTTCAAAAAATTAAAAACAGAATTACCAATATGATCAAGCAATCCCATTTCTGGGTATATATCGGAAAGAAATGAAAACAAGAAAAACTTGAAGAGAGATACTTCCCCCCATATGTTCACAGCAGCATTATTCACAACATCAAGATATAAAAACACCCTAAATGTCTATTGGCGGATGAATGGATAATGAAAATGTGGGGTGGGTGGGTGTGTGTGTGTGTGTGTGTGTGTGTGTGTGTGTGTGTGTGTGAAATATTATACAACCTTAAAAAAGGAAATCACATCACATGCTACAACATGTATTCAAAGGACATTATGCTAAGGGAAATAAGGCAGTCAAAAAAGACGAATACTGTATGATTTCACTTATATAAGGTATCTAAAGTAGTCAAGTTTTAAAAATAAAGAACGGTGTTGTGACGGGCTGGCAGGCAGAGAAAATGGGGAGTTGTTTTCATTGGCACATAATTTTAGTTCTGTAAGATGAAAAACTTCTGGAGATCTGTTACACAGCAGTATGAAAATGGTTAATACTACTGAACTGTATACTCAAAAATGGTTAAGTACTTACTTTTATTATGTATTTTTGCCACACTTAAAAAAATATTAATTCCTTTTTCTTTCACTTCCTTTTCCTGTCCTCCCTGGTACAGTATTCAACAGGAATGTAAAGAAAATGAGGAAAGCAAAGAATACAAAGGCTTCAACAATGTAAAAAAATTGAGAAGACAATAAAACGGCCTCGAGTTCGAACTTATCGATAATTTTTTAACCTGGAAATACCTTGGACCTCGAGTGAAACAGTATCCTATTGGCAAGAAAATAGAGCAGAGTATTTAAAGGATTTTTGCAGCTGGAAAGCTCAAGTACTATTATGACTTTGCTACTAATTACTCTGTGACCTTGGTTAAAATTCATTCATTCATTCATTCATTCATTCATCAAAAAGTCTGTTTACACATGGGTAAACCTGGTCAAATGAATTTCACCTCTACATAGTATTGAGAAGTAAATGAAACAATTCATATAAAACACTAGGCACAAGTCCTGGCACTTTGTAAGTGCTCAATAAATGCTGGCTATTGTTAATACTTTAAAGCCTGCAGAGCAGGACATGAACAGAGCGAATTCAACTAAAGTCAGTCCAGTACGCTATTCCTTAGTGATTTGCCTCATTTATCGAGAATTATGGTGTTACCAAACCAGATACTATTTAGGAAAACATTGCTGACTATGATTCTTGCCAAATTTGTGCTCCTCTCTTCTAAAGAAACTCTCGACTAGGGAAAAGCAATGTCATCTCAGGTATTCGAAATGTTTGCTTTGGAAACAGTGTTCTACCCCAGAGGTGGTGGAACCGAGACCTGTACGTTAGCCACTAGAATTCCCCATTCCTCACCTCATTAGGGGCCTAGGCCTTATCTGGGGGTGAGGATGCATTGGCAGGGGGGGCCACACAACCAAACATCCATCTTTAACGCCCGACTCAGGTAAGACGGACAAATCTCCTAGGAGAATGAAGCTAGTCTTTACAAAACGGACCGGGGTACCGGCAACACTCGCCAGTCAGCTGAGAGCCGGCATCTCGAAGGCAAGCTGGTGCAGAGGAAATCTCCGGGAGCCCATCCCAGGCCCGGCCCGGCCCGGCCCGGCCCGGGACAGTCGGGGAAGGGGCGGGGGTGTGTCGGGATGCTCCCCCCGGGGGCCTTGAGGCGGGATCTGGCAGGCCGGGGGCCCCCCGCCGGTTCCCGGAGGGGCGATGGTGGGGGCGGGGGCGGGCTACACGGCGGCCTGGGGACCCGGCAGGTAGGGAAGGGACACCGAGGGCCTCACCGCGGGCCGAGGGCAGTGGGTAGAGCTTCTCCGCCTTCTGCAGGAAGCGCTGGGCCTTCTCGCGGTTGCCGGCGTTCAGGGCCTCCCGGGCGATCTCGACACATTTCTCCGCCTCATCCCGGTTCCCCTCCATGGCTTGCGCTTTCTTCCGTTTCCTCCGGCGGCGCAGCTACGGAGGACGGAAGCCGCGGCCGCGATGGAGGCGAGCCGGCCCGGGGTGGGGGCGTGCGGTGGCGAGCGGGGAGGAGAGCAGAGGACCGTGGCGGCGGCCCCGGCGGACTGGCGGGCTCTCGGCTCCGCCTCCTCACGGCGGCCTCCCCGCCCCCCGCGGGCCGCTACAACGCGAGTCGCATCCTTCCGGGCCCCCGGACCGAGCTCCCGGGCCTGGACGTCGGTGCGGACTCGCCTGTCCGTGCGCTGCGCCGGCAGGCTCGGAGCCGACCAACTTCGGGGTTGGGAGGGGAGGCGGGCGATACCAGCCCCGGGGCCCGCCGGGGGACTGCGCCGAGGTAGGGGACCCGGCCACCCGCCTCGGCAGCGCCGTGCCCCCTGACCTCCCAGGGCGGCCAGCGCAGGCAGGAACCGCCTTCCAGGCGGCCGGGGCGACGGAAGGGTCTGGGGACGCTCCCTACAGGAAAATTCCCAGGGATCGAAGGGCTCGCCTCTGGGCCCCCTTAAGCCTTGGGAGGTTTCGGTCAGGTGAGTACCGGCGCTGTCAGTCCCTATGCAGCGCTTCCGGCACAGGTGTTTAGAAGCGCATCAGAGCCTCGTTTGGTCCTAACCACGGGTTGTTTTATTTCAGCTACACACCATTTTTCTGACCCATATTCCATTAAATTGTCTCTCAGTACATCCAGAAGGTGTGGACACTTTGTACTTTTTGCAAATTTTTCTCGTGAAAAGCCCAAATCCTCATCCTTTATGACCCAAACAAGGCGGGAGCCACCTTTTTAATGTGTTACCATCAGAAATAAACTACTTGTTGGGTTTTCTCCCCTCTCCCATTTTCAGGACATTTCCTCGTGAAATGCTGAACCATGTCATGTTGGTCTCTTTGAAGGGGGGAAAGGGACCACTTACTTATTGCTTGGTAATGTCCTCCAAATAAGAAAAAAAAAAAAAATTTAGGGACTGCTCACAAAACAAGTATCAAAATGAGCCATTCAACTCAACCAAAATAATACTCAAGCTATTGTTTGCATGCAAATAAACACCTAACTCAGGACTTACAAAGAAATACTTCTTAAGAATGGGAATAGCATGGCCTCCCAAAGGGTTAACTACTGAAAATTTAATTCAAGTAGACTTCAAAACACTGTAGCATAAGAAAACACGTTTCAAAGTCTAAACTGAAAGTTCGCTCTGTGGAGGTGGCTGTAACACAGGACTTCCTCCTTTACCTGCCCTCTCCTTCCCCAAATCCACCACAGCAAGAGCCCACCAGGGAAATGACATCACAAAAAGCAGGCACAGCCAATCTGAGCTGGGACGGTCAAGCTTAGCCTAAGCAGCAGCAACTTGGCCCATTCCAGCTTCTGGCTTTTTAAAAAATTTTAATAGCTCATTACGTAACATTAAAAAAAATTATACTTGGGTCTTCTGACTTGGTTGATCTACAAGTTCAATTTCAAGAAAAGAAATATGCTTAGGTTACTGTTGTATGAGATACCTACTAAAAAAAAAAAAAGAAAAAAAAGGAATTCCTATTGCAATCAAGCAAATTTAAAACGCAACTAGTTTGGGATATGACCTTTATTGAGCTTATCCACTGGAGTGGAAATAATGTCTGTACAAAACCAAATGTTTGTTACTATAACTTCTGCATCACAATTAAAATCCAAACAGTTTTTTAAAAACAGTCAACTCAATCAAAACCCACTACTTCAGAATCAATAGCTTCTTTGAAGCCACAGTAACACTTAAATATGGTTAAGACTCGAATGCAGAAATTTGGTTGGTTGGAAAGCTAATTAAACTTCCAACTTGCTCAAATAGAATTACAAAAAGGCAAAATTGTGTTTTTCACAGAGATACAGTCCACTGGAATCACCAACACTGGACAGCTGTTAAGAGTATTTAGAGTCCTGAGATAATAAGGAATCCAGGCATCCTTTAAACAGTCTTCTGTTGTCCTTTCTTCCCAATCAGAGATTTGTGGATGTGTGGAATGACACCTAGGAAAGGGACAGGTATTAATTCCACTTTTTAATATACACATTTTAAAAACCACACCATACTTAAAAACAAGACAGTCTGACATTTAACTTGGAAGGTGTCTTTACATGTACAGCTCAAGTATGTAAAAACTCATTCAGTTATATACATAAACCAAATTTCATGATGCAACCACACTGAAGATCAGTGAAAATAGTACTTCTGGACTAGAAATTACTACTAAGAACTGAAGAATGTTTTCTCCAAAGGAATAAAATTTAGTATTTACATACCACCACCAGCAATTGTAGCCTTGATGAGAGAATCCAATTCCTCATCTCCACGAATAGCAAGTTGCAAGTGACGAGGAGTAATACGCTTTACCTTCAAGTCTTTTGATGCATTTCCTGCCAATTCAAGTACCTACAAGGGAGATTCTAATCAATCTCCTTCCAACTTTCCTCAAAGACCAATGCCCAAGGGGTAGAATCGAATCTTCACGGAGATACATCTACCAAATGTCGCCTTCCTCCACTACCTACCTGAATGGCAACACTTGAAAAGGGGGCACGCAATTTTATTTCCAAGAGCAGCAAACTCAACCAAGCTCAGTAGGATCTCGTAATGAACACCAGCCCCCTCTAGCGTTCTCAGAAGCTTCTTGCTGCGTTTAGAGCCTGGGAGTTTTTCTTGCATCACTTTCCTCCTTCCCTCTCGTCGCCACCCCCAACCCCCCCAAACCTTTTCCAGATTATAAAGCGTACACCCATTTACCTCTGCGGTGAGGTACTCCAGGATGGCTGCGCTGTACACAGCGGCAGTCGCGCCCACACGTCCATGACTGGTCGTCCTAGATTTCAGGTGTCGATGAATACGGCCCACCGGGAACTTAATTTTAAGCACACAAACATAAATGCACAAAGATGTTAGCGTCCAAGATGGTAATATTACACGCGCGCCAAAGCAAGGGGTATGGACGCTGGTGCAGCAACGCGCCCCAGCATCGACACACGTGATCGCCCCCCCTTCGATATTTATCGTATCGGCAAACCAAGTCGCGACACCGCATCACCCACGCAAAGACGAAACGCCCGTCTAGACCGAAGATAAACAAGAAAAGAGGAGTAAAGAAAAACACCACGGCTCCCGGACTGCACGAACCACCACTGACCTGCAAGCCGGCTCTCTGCGAGCGGGAAACCGCCTTTGTCTTGGCCTTTCCGGAGTCCTTCCCAGCCTTACCGCCAGCCTGCGGCGCGCACACGCCCGCGAGCGAAGAAGGAACGGGGAATATAGGATTACCAGGGCGGCGTACCCCTCCCCCACCGCGGCGCGGCCCAGGCGCGAGCGCGGCCCCGTGCCCAGCCGGGGTCTCCGGCCAGCCGCGCGCTGCAAGGGCGACCCCGCCCGCCC